TGATATTTTACATATACGTATATCATCTGTTACAATAATCAATTTTTAAAAAGACAATGTACGCATTTCATAAATAGTGTTACATAGAAATAAATACGTTCACAGTGAAAGGACAGCGACAGCTGAATAATATTAGTGAACTTGTGCTAAACACCGTTCTCATCGATGTTGTATCGATTAAGTACTAATTTGATAATTTAGAAGGTGTAGACAACAGTGCAGAATTTCACGAAATTGTAGGATATTAATACAAAGTACGATAAATGTCGACGACATGTCGACCTAAGCGTGTGTATACAAACAAGAAGAGTTATTTAAATTGGATACATGTATTTATAATAATATTTGGTACTCTTTGTAATACTTCTCATTAATTTCTTAATACGCATCACAGATATGTCGTTGTTTATAGAAAATAAAGATATATGAAGAATACTGTAAAATAAACTTATCCGTTAATTCTAAAGTAGGCAAATCGAAATAGCGTGCTTTCAAATACGCAATCAAATGAATTCTTTTTCTCTTCACACAGAATTGCAATCGTTTACTTTATCTTTGTTGCGTGAAACAATTGCACCTTACCTTTACGCAATAAATCAAGAAAAAAGCAAACCTGCGCTCACATTTATCAATCGTTTTATTTGCTACTAACAAACAAACGGAAATTTCACCTCTATAATTACGTATTTTGTATAGTTTAGGCTGTTCTTATAATCAGAACATTGAAATCGATTCGAGATACATTATATATCAAGTGATAAATGTTGTCTTTGTGTTTTAAAATTTCTTTTGCAATTACTAGTCATACCAGACACAGTCGTTAGTTCATATCGCGTATCAATCACTTTATTATTATCAGTACTTGATTAAAAATAAATGATGGAACAGATTCGATTTCAACCTCTGTTATTTATTATTCGAGGAGAATTTAACGTTACGGATGTAAGTTTTTTTTACTCGGCGTTCAACAATGTCTCAATGAAGGTGTATCGTACAACTGTATAATATTACTAACTACAATATAGTAAACACGATACAACGCGGGAATCGCTAATCACAAAAATATAATTAATATATCGAAGCACCACGGAGCGGAACTTCGAGGCTGAACTATGATTATAACATCAACAACGTTTGTTAACAATTACCATGAACTTGTATGCAAAGTTATACAGTAAACATTAAACTGGTAATTGTGCGTATTGTGTAATACTTTTTTTTCGAATCGCCAAACGTCTATAATATTTTCAAGCGTTAGAACATCAGTTTTGCAAAAAATGTTTTGCGAAGAAACTACGGTGTTTTTAGTTGTCTCTGATTCCACAAACCTTTTTAATAGCAATAATTCAAATAGAAAGATAACATCGTTCTTAGTAAGACAATAAACAAAAAGAAACAAAGACGTAGTTACATTTATTAATTAACGTAAATGATCTCCTACTTAAAATTTAGTAAACTTAGCTCTTCTTGATAGTATTTTTGCGTAAAAGAATTTATATAACTGTTCAAAGTGAGTAAGTGTGTAAATTGTAGTAGGAGTGTAAGTTGAACTTTCATCAGACATTATAACAAATATAAAACTTAACAGTTACAGAAATATTTTGAGACTGTTACGAAAATCCGAATATTCGGGCGCATTCGAATACGAATTCTTTATTCGAATACATAATTTTTGGGAAGACAGACCACATGCAGTGTTATGAGTTTGAGACATATTTATTGCTAAGGCATTGGTCATAATTAGTAGTTCATCAGTGGCGATATGATTGATGTATCGCTATGCATACAGCTGTATGCAGATAATTGTTTCCATTTCGAGGCGAGCTAAAGTCCCTAAACGATTTTAAGGGATTGTAACATTTGTGTTTCTGCCCTCGTTACTGAAACGTTATTTTCCGAATTTTATACAGTATTACAGTAGAACCTCGGTAGTTGCACTCTCGATACTTGCATGCGAATCTCATCAGTTGCATTTCGTCAACTCGCGGTGGAGATAGTTGTCTAGTTACGGAAAACACGCGATAGTAAGAGAAGCGAGGATTTTAATCTTACTGACATCAGTAAGACATAGTATTGGATGATTGCAAAAGTTCGTACCCGATTTGAAAATAAAACAAGCGGTTTGTGCAAAGGCACGTTTTATTTGAAAATGAAATTAAATGAAGTGAATAATTATTTGAGAATAAAACAAGCGGTATATCTTTCGATAGGAATGTAGCATGACGCTAAAACAAACATCTGTATCGAAGTGTGATAAGGGTCCCGCCGCCTCTGAAAATCGGGTACGAACTTTTGCAATCGTCTATTAGAAGCGGGAGATTTCATATAGTTGATTGGTTATCTCGATAGTTGCAGGAACCTTGATACTTGCAGGCTTTTTTAGTCCCGCATTCGCTTTGTAGCAGCCCTCTTCTAGATAAATTACTGATTACGACCAATGCTTTAGGAATAAATATATCCCGAACCCATAGCATTGAATGTGGCTTGTCTTCCCAAAATTATGTATTGGAATATTCGAAATGTACGAAATATTTGGCACAATCCGAAATTCGTACACTTCGAATAAAGAATTCGTATTCGTAATTATTCGAACTACTCAAATAGTTCGACTATTCGAAATTTAACAGTCCTAAAATATTTATCGCTGAATTTGGTAAAAACTATTTAAACTAAGAAGTATTTTTAATATCTATTCGTCGTTTCACTGCTTCAAGCAGTCGAAAACAATCTCTATAACTTTCTATTTGGATATGTACATAAGAGGTTTAGTACGTATAAAACCAATGAAAAGTTGCGCAGACTACTAAAACCTTACACTACATTTCTGTTTTCAGAGAATAAGTAAGATATGTTATGCTTTCAGCAAGTCTTTACAAAATAATCATTATAATCATGTATCGTAAAGCAGTGCTGAATTATTTTTAGCGTTTCATTAATTACTGACTTCTCACTTTATTCCATAACAAGAGTTGAAGTATTTTTTAATCAACAAATCTTATTACAATACAAAAACACATACTTTAAAAGTATATATGGCAGAACCTCCAGCGTCCAAACATCTATTATCCCACTGGGATGTGTATCATTAGAAAAAGATTAGATGGTTTGAGGCACAAAGAGAATAACATAATTCAACATAAGTAATCGTATTAAAACATTTGTGCAATTTAACAGAAAAAAGAAGTATAACGCTCGTAAATAATTACAAAATATTACATTTATATTATATCTTGCCCTTTGCAATTGTATTATTTTATTTGTAACACAGAAAAACCATCATAGGAAAAAAGGAGTGTTTCACCAGTCAAAAATTCTCTCATTTGAACGACTATGTCTTCAACTTGCTCCGGACACTGGAAATTCTACTGTATAACATGGAATTCTTACGAATAAAGTCCAAAATTAATAGTTAATAACATTAACTACATCAACCGTTCTACTTAAGTTTCTTTCATAGTACCACGCCCAATTTTGCTGTTGTATAGAGGAAATCGTAACAAGTTTGTGACCATGGATTTCGTTATTTCTATTGGTCACAAAACTTTAACCCTTTGACAACTGCCTCCGTATCTCGTACGGACCCTAAGTTCTTCACTCTGTTTATATATATATAAACAGCGATATCATAATACAAATTGTTTAAAATATTCATTCAAAGAGGTATCTGTGTAGGATATAACACAATGATGGATCAAAATCTAACACAACGTTTAATTTCTACCATCAATTATTCACCTCTGTTTGCACAGTGAAGTTTTCGTTCTGCGGCCTCGGTCGTCTAGAGATCAACAAATTCTAATATTGAGACAGGATTAAGAACAGTTCTATTCAAACTAAAGAACAATTTAATTATTCTTTAAATGTACTATTTGGCACTAGAACAAACTTAAAACACAATGGAATGTATAAAATGAAAGTATTTACCAAAAATTAATTAGTTGCATCAGTACTACACTTTTATTATCTGTCTTTTCTTTATTCGTAATCCAATCCCAACTAAACTTCGGTGATCTTCATGTATGTTTCATAATACATGTGATAAATATGATACATATATGAGAACCTCAATCACATCACAAATGATAGTTAAATGAAAGCACATGCTATTACCTACATACTTGGAATATGCTACTAGCAAATGTCTAATTAACTACTAATACACTTAATGTTATCGAGTAATGTATATCATATGACCCTGAAACATAGTTAGAAGGATTTGTAGTTTCATAAAATTAATACCACCGCGAGCACCACGAGCTTACAATAAACCGTTCCTAAATCTGTTATACAACTTCAACACTTTGTGTACAAAATTTTCCAAGATTTGCAGATTTTTTGTATTTCAAACAATGAAGTCGATTTCTTGGTCGATAAACGTCAAATTTGTCCATATTTTGTTAGCATATAATTATAATCTGTCTAAAATAAAACTTTAAAAAAATATAGAGATAATAGATATGTCGCCAAGTGTGGCCATTACAGATGTACTTTATGTATTTTCGTAATTGTTTTTGATATAATACCATGACTGTTTTGTACTTAAATCACCACACCATAATGTGCAGCAAAACTGATGAGGTTTGTGATTCTTTGAGCTTATCTTCTTAAATTATTAGAAAACATAAGAACATTATATCGAATACTGCAACGCTACATAATGTTAAAAATTTACACGATTATGTAGCATTAAAAAAGTACATTAGATGAAGCAGTTTGTATTACGCTGCAACATCAATATAACAACTAAATAAAAGTCTTATTTTCCGATATTAAATTCCAATCATAAATACTTCATATTTATAATTAAATATACAAGAGTTAATAGTGCGCTTACAGCGTTATAAAGCAACTTAAATTTTACTTTTGTATGTAATTTTCTTTTCAAGAAGTACTTTTTTGAACATGTAAAGTATACATTGAAGAATTAAATATGAAAGACGGAAAAAATAAATATATAAATAAAATAAAATATATTTAATAAATTAATCATCGACAGAATCAACGAATCCGTGCAGTTTTCATCGTACTTTAACAGTACGTTCTTCTGTTAACAAGGTTCATAGTGGATTGCCTTGACGATTTTATAATACGATGTGTAATAAATTTAATCGTAGTTTTCCGATTCCTGTTGCACTAGTTTGAACCGACGAGGACTCTTAACACACATGGATCCATGGCCTTCTAGGGAAAGGCGGCCTTTTCGTTGAAGATATCTAGTTATATAACGAGAGATCAACTCTTGTGGTCTCATTTGCCATTCATCCAAGACTTCCTTCGGTGCCAGTACCTATGTGTACAATAATAATCTTAAAATTAATTATTCACTAATGGAATTTAAAATGATTGTACATATTGTGCATATACAGGGTGTTCGGTTAAAATTGGTAGAAAATTTAAAAGGGTAATTCTACAAGTCAGAATAAGACGAAAATGAAGAATAAAAAAATTGCATACTTCTTTCAATTATTCCTGCAACAAATTATTAAGTGTATAACATACAATTATGCAAATATGTTATAAATAGATTTGTCGACATAATTACTAGAAGATAACAGTTTATATAAGAATTAAGAATCTACCTACAAGAACTTATAAGTTGTAATCTCTAAATTCAACAGTTTGATAATTCTGTGGTTGTAGGGCAAAACGACAGACACATGTGTTTATACTTTGGAAATATTGCCGTTTAAAGTTTTAAACATGAATTTGTTACCGCTACCGAGTGAAGTACAACACAAGTATATGTCTTATTTGGATTTACATAATTTTTCCTACTGTTTTAATTGGTACAAACAATAAATAAGAATATTAAACAGAATAGTGAGAATGTGCATATGAGAATGTATAATTAGTTGAGTGAAACTGTCGAAAGCCACTTTGAAATTAGGAGATTAACTGTTATTTTTTTAAATACCACCGGAGTCTATAGTTAATAATTTTAAGATAGGGATGACTATGGTTTCCTTCCATGTATCAAGGAATACACTGTATGTCCATATGCAGCTGAATATAGAAAGCATATAGTCAAAGGTTTCTGATAGCAGATTGGATAGGAGAATGTTTGGGACTCCGTCGGGTCCACGACTACCTAACCTCCTTTATATTAGTAGTAGGTTCGTTGTTTAGGTTGGTTAGGTAATAGGTAGTGTTTTCTTGTAGTTTGTTACGAAGTGTTTGCATTAGCATTATCATTGCAATGGCATTTGTTGAGCGCAGCGATTTATGGCACGGACGTGAGGAAGAGGCTGTTTTTGAGGTTAGGATTTTGGTTATTGCTAGCATGCGTCTCAAGTAGACAATTATCCTGGCGAGAGAAAGTACGGTTTACAACTCTAGAGTTTTAGAAACTCACTTCTCTCATCGTCAATGGCCAAGTGCCTTGCCATAACAAAGGGCTTTCCAAAGGGTAGACATAGAACAATCGCAACGGTCAGGAGACAGGCGAAGTCGTACCTGGCGGAGGTTCCATGCTGTTGCCAGACATCGCCACTCGTAGCTCAGGACATCGCTACCCCCGCTCTAAGGTAACGCGTGTTGAGGGCACAGAAGAAGGGTGTTGCGATGTCACTGAAGCATTCTGATTGGGTTTTTGGGATTTTCCAAATTGCCTAATCAGCGTGCAGATAGAAGAAGGAAGGGGTGACTTGGAAGGAGCGTCGCTTCCTTCGCGAGAATACGTAGAACCAAAAAAACAGGAAGAATAGTAAGATCACAGAGATCACCAGAAACAGTCATAGTAACAGTCACAGTTAGAAAGCTCCACAGTAGTCACTGTCCCAACAAAGTAGGCTAGAATTGAAGTCTGTATTTATAATTAATTATATAAAATAAACATAGTTAAGCATAAAGTATGTTATTCCGTTCCCAACCAATACGTTGGGTGGTCCTTCGAGAGCAACAATAGACGGCACTAAGAAGGGTGCAATAAACTGGGACGGCACGGTAACCAGTACCGTTTAAGTCCTCAACAGCATTAGGTCCCGTGACTAGATCCGGTTTGCTACGACGTGTGCGTAGTCTTTCATGATTGCACCGTCGATAATATAGATTATAATTGTCTGTTCTTTAGTGGAAAATGAATTGTTTATCGTGGCAGAAACGTAGAATTTTGTAGACTGTACGAATGGCGCATTCGATTAGTCTCCGTTCAATAGGTTGTTCGGTTCCATATTTAGACCTCTGTACTCAGAAGTCTCGTATGGCTCATGGTGAGTACTGTGCAGAGCTGGAAAGTTGGCTGTCGGCACAGCACAGAGGCAAGAGGAGTAAGCCACGCTCGCTCCACCTTTGCTTACCGTTACGCGATGGATTAGTATATATGACTATGTTTCGGCAATAAAAATGCGTATGATCTCACTTTATGAGTGTGTCCGCTACAGCCAATGAATCCACATTCCTTCCGTCTGCCAACTTACCAGATGCGAACAGTACATGGTATGAAAATTACGCGTGCTTTTCTAAACATCAACACAACACAAGACTGATATGAGCTGTATTCTGTACTTATACACTTGTAGTGAATACTTTCTTCTGAGAACAGAATTACCGTCTACTAACAATAAGTCTCAGTTAAGGCATAAACTGAAATTTTTTGAAAATGCGACTTATGTCGTTTTGCCTTACAACCACAAAATTAAACACTTGATCTTTATAAATATACCAATTCGTCTGTTACATACCTGATCTCCTTTAAGTCGATCTAACAATGTTACGCAGACAACAGCAGATTTAATGCCTGCATGATGCGTAAGAGCTGCAAACGAAAGGCTCTCCATTTCTATGTTTATTACGCCAGTCTTATGCACCTTGTGTAAATAGTCCATTTTGTCATTTTCTGTGAATTCGCAAAATGCACCGTCCATTCGACCTTGTCCTTCATAGAAGTCATAAGTACACATTGTTTTGCCAATCACAGTATCGTAAGGATCCTCGCGATGCGCTAGAGCCTTTAGATCGCGAGCTAATTGCCGGTCAAGCTTAGACGGCCTTCGTAAAAGTTTACCAAGCACCGGCTGAAAAAGAAGTGACAAACTTAATATTTATAAAATTAATTACTCGGTCATAAATTCTATCATAAGTGCGGTGCAGAATCAAAAAGTAAAGTTAACTTCTAGAGGAGGAATGATTCAAGTAAAAAAACGCAACTAAAAATATAATTTCAGTTAAATATTTCTAAATTTTCGGGTGCGTCCTTTTCTAATATACTGTACAATTTGCATTGTTTCACTACTAACATTGTTTCAACGTTATTTTCGTATTTTGTAAGTGTTGGAAGTCACCACGAACTAAGGATCGTAATTTTGAATGTATACACGTATATTAAGATACTTTAATTCGTGTCATTTTTAATATAATACACGGATATTCGAGTATGTATGTATATTTATTCGAGTAATTTGCGGAAACAAAATAAGGTACGTCCCAAAATGATAGAACCACTTTAGAAAATAGCAATTATAAAGTTTGCTAACTATTATTGTTGAAAAAAAGTACAATATCATATTATTCGTATGTTTATTTAATATGTATTTTTTCATGATGATCAAAATGATAATATGTAGTTTTATCATTTTGGGACGCACCTTACAGCTTTACAAATTGCCAAGTTGCAGATAATAACAACAAATTTCGGCGTAATACAACCGGTATAGAGATAAATTCGCTATCCCCTGATCAGTTTACAGCTCTGATAAGAATCTCTTACCAGTTCCAAGTAAGGCTTCAACATTCCATCGACTGCTTCATCGGAAATTACCACAGTACCGCCTTCAAGGCCGATCCCGCCACAAGTACCAATCCTAAAGAATATCGGATCCTTCACCCTTGCATGGTACATCAGTTTGATGACCTCATGAAGTAAAATACCGACTGATGGTATACCCATTCCATGCTAAACAGAAAACTTACATGTTCTTACATATTCTCTTTTTAAACGGCCTTCTAAATTTAAAACTTCAAGAAGAATTTAGTAAAACACCATTCTGAAAGACTCTGTTGTAAACTTTGCCGTCCAGCCATCGTGAAATGAAGTATCAAAAGTTCTCCCGCCATTTATGAAGATGAACCTCACTTGTATATGTATGTATACTTTCATGTCATGAAAGTATGCAATCATTTCTTCTTTTTACACTAAGTGCTTAAATAATCTAGTCTAATCGCCGCATATACAAAATTGACAAGTTCAAGAAAAATTTAGTAAAAATACAGTTACGCACTGTGGACAAGAGATCGAATCTATATAACAAGTCTGTTTACTGTTTACATTCAGTAATAAAGTATTCCTGAATAACGTTAACCCTGGAATACTAACATTCATTTTTTAAATAATATTTGCATTTCTTTGCTAACTTTAATAACATTAAAATTGCAAAAATTTAAAGTTAAAAACAAACCAATAAGCATACTTTTATTGAATCTAATGATGTTTCTAAAGTAAAAGTATAGAACGTAGATATAAAAAAATTCCTTGAGGAACTGTATTTCTCACATTAGTGTTTCAGGGTTAATGTTTGATTTGCACGTTTATATGGACCCTCATTACATGGAAAATGATTTTCTCAACAAGTTATTAAACAAAAGTATCTTTGCCCTACATAATTTAATTTGTTTCAATGTCACCAACAATACCACGTAAAAAAAATTATATGATACCATTTAACAAAGTGAAGGTGACTTCGATTTTATATTAGAAAAATAAGTATCTTTACAATTTGTTGCGATCAAGCACTTATTAATTTTTGTTTCTTTGTTAGACTACTGGAAGTGCTTCAAAAATCGTGACGACCGTTACGCTAAACATCCTGTAAGTACAGTTGGTCAAAGCGATATAGTGAGGTCGTAAATTAAAGCATTCAGTGGTGAAATTAATTAGTGTAATCGAATCCCAGGGCTGTCCGTCATTTGTTAATTGATATCTACCATTTCTGCTTAAATCTTTCCTTTAAAATATACGGTATTAAGCCACCGTCGCTTCCTACTAAATAGTAATTCCTATACTGGTAAAAATTAATCTGCAGCTGTCAACGATTAAGGCACAGACAAATTTTTTAAATTTACTGCAATGGAGAAACTAATGATAATAATTGGAAATAGGGTCCTCAGCATCGATTTCAATGACTTTGAAATATGTTGTTAAGGTCAACATTCCAAACAACTTTTCCCTATATATATACATACATATGTATATATATATTGTTGCATATATTGATCATATATAAAATTAATTACGTATATCGATTGGTTGTATTGTATATACATATATATTGATTGGCAGCCATCATACTGTTGTTTATAGAAACAAAATGACATCCTTGCCAACATATTTCAAAATTAAAAAAAAAAAACATGGAATGAAATAAACAAAATTGAGAAAAGGCACTAAAACTACTGATATTTGTACTGATATCTCGAAAACTAAAGGAGTCCGACGATAATGTATAGAGAAAAGTTGTTTAAAATGTTGACTTTGACAACATATTTCAAAGTAACTGAAATTGGTGCTGAGGACCCTATTCCTAATAATTACCAAACTAATTCCGAGTTTATATTGAACGACCCTGAGCGAGGCTGGAGCCTCCTTATCTTCCTGGAATTGCTGTTTTGACGTTCGGATTACATGTATTTTGACGCCCGACTGATTTTACGACCTCACTATGTACATATACATATTCGGGTCCACCGATTATATATGCAACTGAAGTATACATCTTACAATTCAATAAAACAAAAAGTTAGGAAATAATGAATTGTTTTGTTATTGACGTATTGATCGGAAGCAAAAATAATTATGAAAAAGTTGTACGAATACAGGAAAACATTTCACACACATATAGACATTTAACAAATATAAAGAAATCCTATGTGATTGAGTAAATTATAATTTCACGAACTGATTAAAATGATTATAAATATGTACTTTCAAGATAATAATCAGATTGCGTAACATGCAATTGTATGATTAACCTTTAGATGAGCCCTAGTTTTGTGAAAAGCTTATCATTAACCTAATTTAAAAGGATAATTTTTTTTCTCCTACAAGTGATTTCAAGTATACTTACACTAATAGATAAAACCGGTCCGACTTTGTACATAGAATAACGGTATGAATACTGGCTTATGTCAAGAAGTGTCGTTCCGGCTGGAAGCTTGTGACCTATTTCCTTCATTATAAAATGAGCAAAATCTTCTATACGTTTTGGTGTTCCTCCCATGCACACGAACTGTAAACAGAGTTATGGGATTACTTGCACAGTTGCGTCAATATATAGTGTTGAATATTGTAAGTAACATATGAAGATAGTAACCACTATCTTGAAATCTCTCTCTCTATTTCACCCGTAAAAAAAACTATTTACACCATATTAAGTCCTTCAAGATACCAAACAACTTTTGTAAGAACACTGTTTCGATAGCTTCAATTCCTTTTGAGATATACCAGCGTGTCCAGTTAAAAAAGACACCCTGTATATGACTGATGCGTATATCGCAAAACAACAGTGTTATTCATATACTACGAGCGACGTGGTAGAGAACGTGTTAAGACGTGTTAGAAGTTTCAAATTAGCAAGTGCTATGAATAAAGTTAATTATGGGAATTTACGAACATAATAACATGAAATCCCGTAAAATAACATCACGCCACCCTTTCGAAAAATTAATATAAACAACGGAATGGTGTATCGAGAAGTTTAAACTAGTTATTGTTAGAATGTTGAACGAGTTGAATAAAACTTGTCCTTTCGATGCTCTTTGTAATTTATAACGGCGGAATTGTTCTTCTCTTAAATAGAACGTACAATTCGAGAGCGTGCAGGTACCCGCCATGCGACGTACAAAATAATACCTCAAGTATTACCACCCTGTGTACTGGAGGAGCGCGCATAGAACTTTCGGCTATTGTTCTATTTAGGTCATGATACACTGTACTTTCTTTTAATGGCGAAATCCTCATCGATACTCCCCCGTGAATGCGCTGTATAGACAAGGTATTATTGATAGCATAAAAGGCGTCGGGAAAAAAAGCGCGTGCGCCATTTGTTCGTGTGTACGTTTAATAAATGGTATAATAGTACGCTCTGCTGCGTCAATTATATTACGTGTACAAATTAATTCGGTGCCTGTTTTTAAAGAAATCGATCCTTTACGTACCGAAAAATGTAATATATTTTAATCTTCGAAATGTCCGCCCTCATTTTCGATGACCTTGTTCCGTCTTTTCCGGAATCGTTGATTTGTGACGGGGACACGGTTAACCCTTTCGCTGCGGCAAATTTTAGTACATAACGCGCAAGGCGTATTCAGATATTTCACAACGGCCGCAAAATTTTCTTTTTTGGCTGTATCATTTGAAAATTTGTTTTATTGAATTAACGTGAAAGAGTGCAGAGGATAAAATTAAGGCTTAAATTAAAATGGAAGTGCGCCAAAAGGCACCAATAACACAATGCGAACAAATTTTCAAAGCGCCAATAGCAGTGAAAGGGTTAACAGTGAAAGCGCTGCGCCAGTATTTCCGTAGGAGGAGGACTGTATGAAATATTTGTAACCGGACACGTGTCTATTAAGGGATTGTTCCTTCCAAGTGTACCAGTTTATTCTATGTACAAGACGTGAGAACTTTCTATGGTTATCCCGTCCGGCGGCCAGATAGTGATGGTTGCTCACTTTGGTTTCTTTTGCACTGAATATCGCGTCTATCAGCTCGCGATGAAAGTTCTCTTTGTGTGTTCTAAGAATTGGGCTGAAATTTCGTCCAGACGTTAGTATACACATTACTAACGACCGGGAATTGAAACCCAAGAGAAAAAATCCATACGTCAGTTGGGGTTCAATTCTCGGTCGGGCATCCTTATAGAATTTGGACGGGCCGGTTCTGGCGGCAGGAGTTTGGCTAGAGAGTGGATTTCCGGTGAATGGAGGTATAAGCGAAAGCCTCGGTACTCCAAATTCCTGTGAGGGCGGCGAATAATAGTTGTGTGTTCTAAGGTGTTCCAAGAGGTTCTAAAAGAGGAACCGTCAGTTGCTTCTCTTTCCACCCGTTTCAGGAAACTTGAGACGTCAAGGTGAGGGAGACCATTTGTCGGCAAAATCGAGCTTCTGGTGCCTATCTCATGTGGCGTGTTTTCCCGCGGATATGCAACTTTCACCGAGTGGTTGCCACAAGGTTCATGCCCCTATTGTTCGCTATTGACCCACAGGGGGGGAGGGGGGGTCCATACCCAGCGGGGCCTGGGGGCTTAACCATCCTCCGGTACTGGAAGCGCTGATTGACCAGAGTCGAGAGGAGTTGTGGTTCCTCATCTGTGAGTGGTGTGAAGTCCACTACGAACATCCCACCGACGATGTAATGAACGGTATCTCAGGACGGCTAGCTTACCAAGCCATGCTACAGAGCTGTTGCGGAGTTCTCGCTTTCCCTGTGGTTGTCCGGTGGTGTTTAGACGGGTGTTCTTTCCTTCTCTCCCGTTAGGGGGCTGGCCGAATTAGTGTTGGATTCGAGGGGGTAGTGGTTTAAAGCCAAATGCTGGTTAGGTGGCACTTTATCCAGGCTGTCGGCGAGTGAGCTGCGCCCCAAATTAGTTCCGGTACCAGTTTGGAGAATTGGTGGAGTGTGGAAAATCAATTCGTTCGATCTTGTAACGTGGCTGATGCCCTCATAGCTTCTTGTCGCACAAATAGGCCATAAGAGTTCGCTGCTCGCGTTAATTGGGCGTAGGGTAAATGTACCTAATATGGAATCGCACCTAATGTGGAACACCGCAATATCTCGGCAAATAAGTAATAAAATCACACTGGGCAACAGTGTAAGATATTTCATTAAAAACAAAAGACAACCATATTGACGTTTGAGCGTGAACGCGTTGAATGTACATACGTAATATGGAACCTATTCCATATTAATATTATATAGTATTACATGATATTTTTACCATTATAAGTACATTATATTATTGTAGTACAGATAAAAGTTGTAGCACCAAATATTAAAAGAAAATCTTGGGACAAGGTTCTACAAAAAAATGGAAAATATTTGTTTAGTTGTCTTTTTTATTTATACAAATATTCATTTTTCATAGTAAAAATAAAGCTTTCTGAGATTTCTTTACAAATTTCCTAGGTGTACCATATTACGTACCACTTTTTCAACACGCCACGCCGTGTTTGACTTTTTTTTACATGTTTTACCATGACTTCAAACACGAACTTTTGCGCAGTTAACTATTAACATAGAAATATCTATTAATTTTGTCGTGTCTTAACATTAGTTTCATTTTAGAAAAACCATGTCTCTATGTTTGGCAAGCTTTTAAAATCAGGTGTTCCATATTAGGTGTAGTTACCCTATATCTCAATCCGATTCCCTTGGGGGTCGTCTGGATAAGAGTCACACCAGGCGCCGGACGTTAAACTGCGGCATTTTGTTCGCTATTGAACTTGGCATAGTTAGAATCTTCGGGTGCTGAGATTTTAGATTCTAACGGATCAGCAAGGCTTGCAGTCTTCCTGTTTGGTCTTTAGTCAAAAATAGCATGGTTCACCGTGACCATGCCAAAAACCCGAGGCCCCACTTTATATTCGTGAACACTCTTCAAAGAAGACGGTAACTTTGAGTCGATGGTAAAAAGTTTTCGATATAAAGGGGTGGGGGTGAATTTAGAAAAAGTATTTTTCAATTATGAATTTAACTTTTTTTCCCATATCTTGTACGGTTTTGTAAATATTCACGATAATATGAAAACTTGCAATTTCTTTCAGGGGGTTCTTTCACCCTTAGGACCGTTTCATTGTCGAAACAAGGATTGTTTCGTAATTAGTGTCACTTGATCTATATTTCTGCAAAGTTCCACATTTTTTTAAATATTCAGGGTACCGTTACTTCCCTTGTCAATCGCGCAGCGCTTCCATTGGCAACCGCGCTCTCATCGCGAGTCAATGATTCCGAGCGCGAGCACTCTGATACCATTTTTTGCATGTTTTGTATATCACAGCACCTTCCCTCAACTCTGAACAAATCCTATCCCTGGCTTTAGCGGTATTTGTTTTAATTGAAACGCAAACAGAATACAATGCCTGATGTGTTTCTTTTCTATTGTTGGGTGAGGATGTGCCATCTGCTTTGACAAGTTATATGTGTGTTGTAAATATTAAGGTTGGCGCTCCGAAAGCACAAAATGGCGGGAAAATATAAACATTTAATACAGAGTTATAGGGGAGATTTACATTTTAAGGGGGGATTCTCATGTAACAGCAGTAAAATCGAACGTTCTTTTTTCTTTCTTTTCTTTTTCTTTTTTAAAAAACTATTAACAATACAAAATTATTATTTTACGGGTACATGGATACATTTATAAACTACACAAGCAATTTTTTTTTAGTATAGTATGCAATTGTTCTCATGTAACAGCAGTAAAATCGAACGTTCTTTTTCCTTTCTTTTCTTTTTCTTTTTTAAAAAACTATTAACAATACAAAATTATTATTTTGCGGGTACATGGATACATTTATAAACTACACAAGCAATTTTTTTTTAGTATAGTATGCAATTGTTTTTATCCTCTTCGACGATAAAACCATTGTTGATGGTTAGTGTAGCACTTGTTGCAATGGTCAGAATTTAAAAATTAAAAAAGTTTCTTAAAGTTAGATAGTTTGTGCTGGGACTATACCTATTTCGAACGAAAATTATGAAAAATTAGACAAGTTAGACGGTTTCTTTCGAACAAAAATTGACTTTTTTTGAGTAATGGTACACGCCAATTTACAAAACAGTTTCGAGAAAAACGCGTTTAAAGTTTTCTCCGGTATATGTATGTATGAACATAGTTTACCTACAAATTTTAGCAGAAATTACTTAGCTGCGCACTTCGAATCTATTTTAGTTCAAGGAAGAAGTAACTGCTCGTTAAAGATACAGTAACTCAATGTATTACGTAATGGTATTTACGGAAGCAACTGAATAATAGGCAGTACACACAGAAACTTACTTTCACGTAGTTTGTTATAAATCTATCGTTTATTGATTGCAGCAAACTACACATTGCTTTCAACAAGATTAACTTCGCTGAAGTTGTTTTGTTAATCTTGCTAAGGTACGGTAGCAGTTTGAAACAAATTATTTTCGTCTTTAACAGAAGACGCATATGCGTCTCGTAATAATGCAGGCAACTTAGAAGATTCATTAAGTATGTGCATAAGCATTCGTTAAACTGTTTCGTCAAACGTGCAAAAACGTATAATGTAAATATGCACCGATTGCAATGGTAATACGAAATAGAAATCAATAGATTTACAAAAGTTACATGTTGCGAAGGAGAAGGCGGGAAATATGCGCTCCAACAAGAGGAATTATAGATGACAAACGTATTGATATTTATAAAGTTTAGTTATAAAACTGATAATTTGTAATAATAATTGTAATATAATTTAAACGTGAACAAAGATTATTAAACCTACAAAATGAAATTCTCAAGGAAATTGCTTCTGTGGAGAAGAATAAAATTTGAGTATAACTTGTAATTAAATAATTCGTTGTAATAGTTTTAAGAAACTAAACAATCCTTTACTTCTTATTTCACTTTTGTTCGTTAGTATTGATAAAGTTACTGCAATTGCAATGATTACCAAGCACGTAATTTTTTAATGATTTACATTAATTGTTTGCAATACGCAGACAAGAATTCATAATAGTACTCTGGAATTATAGTATTTTGTTTACAATATTTGACATGTAAAAGTATTCAATAAACTTCAATAATTTTATATTTGTTTCACAGAACACAATAAATAGCTTGTTTTGAAACATAAAGCAATAAAATTGAATTTAATTGATAAAACAGTTCAGTAATTAAGAGATCGTGAAATAAAAGTTTGTAAATAATAATATAGTAAAATAGAAGATAGCAATGAAATAATTAGAAACAGTAACAAGATCATATTACATTTAACAATACTACGTTCTATAAATATAACATTCCTACACGTATAATATAATTAACACTGTAATTGTAACGTTAACTCAGATATAATGTGACAGTTTATTTCTTGAATTTTAACACGTAGTATTGATCATAGATGCTATATTCTCACGAAGAAAACGAACGCATAAACCTTTATTGCAATTGGCAAACAAAGCTCGCGTATAAGACACTGCTGAACAAAAACAGATTCATAAATGAAATTAATTAGATTGGTTATTTAAAAATATTCTATACCCACTATTGTATAAAAACAGAAACTTCGTTAATTTGACCTTCGTTGAACGAAATGGCTTTGAGAGACTCTTGCGGTTCAAGTTCTAGGAACTGCTTAATTCTTTGTTTAAGAATCAAAATATAAAACTAACCTATCGAAAGTAGCTTTATATTCTTCCATTATCCTTCACACAGCTGAAGTAGTTCTTTTCGTTAAACTAACCAACTTTTTAAATTATCCGTAACATAGCAGTAACCTATTCTAACAACACGGAAGCCGTATTGGCCGGTCAAGGCCATTTCTCTTCCGTTGCTTTTCAGCTCCACAAAAATTATATGGTGCCATTTAAAAGAGTTAGGTGACCTGGATATTTTATTGAAAAAAAAAGTATTTTTGCAAATTGTTCACGATCGAGCACTGATTAATTTCTGTTTGTAACACTTTTTTTTTGTCAAACTACCCCAAATGTCTCAAATATCTCTCGGAAGAAGGGAGGAAGAAACACGTAAAAATTTATTACTTTCGTTTACCTTGACGTCGCCGAACATTTCGACGAGATCGTGGGAACCACTGCCCAGAGCAAGATGATACAATATATCTTGATCCATGAGCTCGATATTTGGATTTCGAAGTCGCACGGATCCATCTCTGTATCTAGAAATACATGAAAGAAAAGAGAGATATTAGAAATAGAAACTTGATATACTATGTGCCTGAATTACGTTTTATTTTTGTCTTATAAATAAAAATGTATTTTTATTCAATCACTGCAATGTAAATTTCCCAAGTTGTACTGTATATGTATTAGAAGGTAAAACAGGAATAAATTCAAGCTGATGTATTTCATTATAACATTAATGAGATATTGCGATAAAACTTGTATAAAAAATTAACATGGAGCTAATATTTTACTCGATTAAACAGTACAGAGTCTTTCAACAGCTACGTTTAATTAAGGAAAGGAGCAAAGAACGTGAAATTGTTCAAATTTTCTCTTTCCAGGTAAAATTTAGCACAATTCTGTGAGTTTCTGTGAAAAAGATAAATGTTAGTTCACATTGAAGAGAAAAGAGACATGTCGAGGTATACAAAACTGATCTAAAAAAACAACGGCTGCACGTGACGCAATTTTATTTAAAACACGCGATATGAAAGTGCAACGCAAGCACGATGCAAAAACGGTAGAACGCAGTACATAATGAATCAAATAATGGTAATCACACCGTATTGTAATGAATACCTATAGGTAATGAATACTTATGGTAATATTAACCGTTTGAGTCCCAAACAGCGCGATCGCGCTGTTTAGATTTTGTGTCGAAAAGACCCAGTACATTTAAACGCTATGGACAACTAACGGTGCACTCACAGTCTGTCGAAATAGCGCGCTCAACTTTTCTGACGCATGTACATTGCATCGCTTTTTTTTTTTGTCGACACAAAGCGCTATCGCGCCGCTTAGTTCTTTTCGCAATTAATTAAGATAAGCGTTATTGCGCTGTTCGGCATTTTTCAATAGCGTATTTTCAATGACCCCTGGGACTCAAACCGTTAAACAAAAGAAGGTATTCTTTCGACGATATGCATCGCTAGAATCGTTGCCCATCTACAAGTACGGAGTGTAGCAAAAATTAGTTGCATATTTTTGTGACGATACTTCCTACGCTCCACCACCAGAGGGACGGACTAATAACCAATTCTCGTTAATCCTCACTAAAGACTCTCGTTTGTATACAGGATGTACAAAAAAGTTGGGAACAAACTTTAGAAGCTTGTACTATTCATCGAAACAAGCAAAAAACTCTTAATAAACATAGGTTTAAAAACCATTGGTTTCGGAGTTATATACGAGATGTTTTCTACTATAAACATGTAACGGAATAACAAACTCTATTCCATATTTATCTAAAATCTATCCAAAGGAAAGTACGCATAATCGTATGCTGAATGATATCATGTTTATTTACGTAATGCTACTACGTAATGTTTACTTTTCTTTGATTAGGTTTTAGATAAATATGGAATAGAGTTTGTTAGTCCATTACAGGCTTATAGTAGAAAATATCTTATAACTCCGAAAGTAATCGTTTTTGAATCCATGTTTATTAGGAGTTTTTTGCTTGTTTTGATGTGTGCTACATGTTCCTAAAGTTTGTCCCCAACATTTTTATACACCCTGTATATACAACTTCACCCGCGTCTAAGGAGCGGGTTTCCTAGATAGCCTTACTGACTAGTCCATCAGGAGGACCAGGACGAAACACACAGTCTTTCATTTTCCACTTATCCTCCATCTCTTTCCTCCTGTCTTACCTAACCGCCGCAATAAAATTACGAAGAAAATTTGATCGAAATCGCGTGCCTGATTACAAAACAATTAAACATTTGACCTAGACTTTTCGGGAGCTTGGTACTGTCAGCTAGACCACACATTCTGACCGTCCTCGAATCGAATGCTCGGCAAAAAATATTCGAACAGCTCTGACCGACATTATACTCAGAAATGGAGTCTTTCATGCACTGTTTTACACAATACATATTTTGACGACGTATGTTGCGAAAGTTCTTATAAAGCGAAGGGGACAAGTTGACAAGAAAAGGACAAAAATTTCATGCATTTTCACACTTGTAGTATAATCACAAAAGATGCAATGTTATAATAGGATACTTGAAGCAAATCTAAAAAGGTTAATTTTTATATTATACATATAACAAAATGTTACAAAAACCTGCCAATGTTCCCCAAATTTACGGTATATTTTTTATCAATTTTAAAAATTATAACTTAATGTTTAATTTATAAATTTCAAGTAACTGTTGTTTCTCTTGAATTGAAAAATTCCATGACAATTTAAAAAATGGAGTTTTCTCATAAATGCATTGTTGAGTGATCATTACATTACACTTTTAGACAAGATATTTTAATGGAAATGAGTTATATTTGATGGAATATGCGCTATTGTCAAATTTGTGGGTTAATAGAACCAGAATCACCGACGAACAGCATTGTTCTGGCAATCGTCCAAAATAATAATAACCCTGTATCGCTAGAAATATAAATACGACTTCTGTGTATCGTGCAAGGTATAATATTATACCTTTTTAGGGAGCAATTTAGTAATTTACTAAAATGAAATTACAGTGAAGAATACCAAATTTCTATGATCGATTAAACCTTACGATATTTCTTCATGTATAGAAATAAATGAAAATAAAATTTTGAAATAAACGTATTAACTGTGAAAGTGACTTATTGATTTCTACATACCTGGAAGTGCTAGTATATCTCATAAGAAACTGAGGAAACAAAAAAGTTGTTCTCCTACATAACCTCCAAAAAACACTGCAAGAATATATAGTCACGAAAGTGTGGATCGAAGAGTGGAAAAACTCAGCTCCTTTACTTATTTTAGAAACAGTAAACAACTCTTTCACAGCAAACATTCACTTCTCAAAATTGACTCGGAAGGAACAGAGCATAATTAGTAGAATTAAAGTCGGCCAATCTAGAATCACACATTCTCGTCTCATGACCAAAACAAATCCTACAATATTCGATCATTGCAATATACCTATTACTAAAAAATACATTCTACTATATTGTCCCAAAATTCTCAAGCCATCGAGTTTAACCCTTTCACAACTAGCGCCGGTTATATCCGGCATCCACTAAATGCTTCACACTGACTAGCGCCGGTTATATCTGGCATCCACTAAGCGCGTCGCATTGGCTCCCGCCTCAACAACTCAAAGGGAAGAATTATTTTAAAATACAGAACAAGGCCTCAACAACATTCCCTTTATCCAATACACCCTTAAGTCCTCTGCTGTTACAACGAAATCCTCTAAGATTTTAAAAAACGCGAGACACTCTTAATGTGTATGGTGTGCACTAATGGCACGACGACCCGTTCGTTACTGGCGTACTGATGGCTAGTTCCGCCGTCGCAAAAGGGTTAAGCATTGTTTGTCACTCTCTAAAAGATACCTTTAACGACAACTAAAAACTAAATAGGCATCTTGCAATTTATAAAAGATATTGGATTGTATCATGACTGCATCAAATTTCAAGTTATAACCAATCCCCAAAAATTGTCGTTAATAACCTTATGCAGTTAATGCGACATTAAATTCATCGACAGGGCGCAAAAAACTATACTTTATACTGACATAATGATACCGATAAAACACATTATTGCTTAATACACTGCTCGCCAAAAATATTGCTACACCTAGATATTGGGGTTGCACAAATCTGGAAATCACATATGTTTTTCGGGAAAACATGATCTTTTTTTTTAATAAATGAGACCTTTTTTAACCAAATTTTAATCATTATCCCCTTTCAATACCTCAAATAATATAAATTTCATTTTATTAATTTCAATTTCATTTTCAATTTTGTATTTTTTTATTTAATTTATTTGATAATTGATTGTCATAGTATATATATTTATCCGATATTTATATTAAAAATAATTGTTTTAGTAGCCATATCAAAGACGTAGCTCGTTAGTGAAATTTTGACTGAGCAAAAGTAACGTCCTTGGATCTTTTAGATATGAAAGGAAGTCCTGCGTTGCAAAGATACGACAATTCTGCCCTCCTTTCTGTTTTCATTCACGGAAAGTCATTCTTTTACCTAGTTTCCCGTGGTTCCGCTACGTAATCAGAATATACACTCGTTGCATGTTTCATTATACTCTTTGTCGCGCTGCTTGCCGCATTTACTAATTTAGCCATACACTATTCTGCACTCTACGTTACACGTTTCAGTTTTATCATATCCATTAACTGGACACGGTGGAATATCATAGAAAGAACTGAGCACAATGTGGGGCACAATGTGGTACAAATAATTTTTTCGCAGATGAAGTAGTAGAGAAGATTTCGAAAAGGGAAAAACGAAAAAGTTGATTTCGATTTGATTTTTCACATAAAATGTTCGAACTCTTAAATAAAAATTTCAAAAGCTACCTACAATTCTCTGTAAATGTATATTAACCTCCACTGCCTTTAACCCTGATAGTTATTTCGCTTTGTTTCTTGAAACACTGCTTCGCCGAATGAATCAAGTTGGCTCTTCGATATCAGCAACGATTTCTATGAATAACGCAGTGTTCATACAACTGACATTTATTTAAGCGAATATTTATCAGCTAGAGTAATTTTACCTTATCGTAATTACTTAGTATTATTAGACAATCATTAACTGTTACTGTATGACAATGCATGGCATTTGTTAATCCTCGGACCACGGGTGGCGCGATAGTCGCACGCACGGCAATTGCTGAATCAAATATTAAAATAAATATTTATAATATAAGAAGAGGAGAGTCGTGATTTTGTTTTGAATGCCGATCGAAAGAAGAAACATCTAAAAGCGTTGAGTCAGCGGTGACACGGTATCCGTCGTCCGAAGGTTAACCCTTTAACCTACAAGAACGTGCTAGACTCGTCGCAGAGATTCTGGTCAAGATGTGACAAAAATAGTTATATTAGTAAGAAAAATGAATTGTAATCCTAACTTTCGTTTTAATTTGTAAGATTAACGATTCCTAAATGTAATCTGTAACAAATTAGCTTTTGTTACCTGATACATTACTAAAACATTAAATGGCTGCAGGAAAGAAATTATAGGTTAAGGGGTTAATATGCAGCAGTTTTTCCTTCAACTTTCACTGTCCAGTCACTTCTTCTGACAATACCAAATAAACACCGATGTATTATTGAATTCTTCACTGATCTCTAACTTGAAGTACGCCACGGGAAGTAGTGTATTTGTCCGACCCACACAAGTTAAGTTTGTGCTATGAGTTTTTCCTAGAATTGTGCCGCCAGCGGACATAATTACATGCCAACAACAACACTACGGACATTCTTTTACCAACTATCGACCTGGAAGTTTGACCAGTTTTCTCCATGAGTTCTTCAAAGCACTTTATAACATCTTTATATAGTTTATAATATCGTAAAAGTACAATATTTTTCTATCTATCCACCATGAGCATATTGGTGCTCACCTGGATGTTTCACGCCAGGTGTTTCTGACACGTTTAACGCACAAAGTGGAAGTTATTCAAGGTATGCAGGTTAGGAAGTATATGTATATACCCTGCATGATTAAAGAGAGTAGTAGACGCACTGATTTTAAAGGCTCTGTATTGATTTAAATTTTGTACTGAATGTTGTACCGATTTAAAGAAAAACAAATCTAAAAGTAGAAAAAAATATATACATAATTGAAATAATTGAATATCTTTTATGTA